CCTCCCCCTCCCCCAGCCAGCCAGCCAGCCAGCCAAGCTCAAGGCGAACACTCCGCAGCCAGACAGCCATACAGCCACACACACAGGCATCCAGACATCCGGCCAGCCAGACAGTCAGTCAGTCACCCCACGCTATATGCCCAGCCCGATACGTTGTGTGTGTGTGTGTGTGTGCTGGGTATCATTTATCTATTTCTTGAGGATGAGCCACAGGGCGTGGATCAGTCCCGGCAGGAAAAACTGCATATATGGCACACACAGACAGACAAACACATAGACGCAAACACAGCTGCTGTGTCAAACGCTCAAACACGGGGGTACATGCAGCCTGTCAGTGTGCAGAGGGTGCAGCCGCTTCGCTTACCAACAGGCACAGGATGATGTTGATGAGCAGATCCGTGCCGCACCCCCTGTCCAAAAACACCGCTGAAGGCATTGAAGGACACAACACAACACACACAAGAGAAAACGCATTCTTCTCACTCCACGTCGGCAGGCCCTTCGCATCATGGCGATGTGTGCAGCCATCCATCGTCCCCTCCGTCCCATCCATCCATCCATCTCACTACCGAGGGGGGGAATGAAGATGGCGATGATGATCAGGAGCAGGTCAGCGCTGGATGAGCCGCCGCGGGGCATGGTTCAATGGAGAACTCTGCGTCGGATGCACCTGGCGAGATTGGCGGAAGTGCCCCTTTCTGAAACCTTTTGCCGCTTGCGACTTGAAAGAGAGAGCGGTTTCACGGAATGCGAGCTTTTTCATTGAAGCGGAAGGCTAGAGGGAAGGCGGTATCGTGGGACGCAACTCCAGCGAACACCCACCACATCCAGCGCTCCAAACTGGAGAAAACCGCCGCATGCTGCCTCTTGGGTTCGTGAGGCCTTCTCGTTGGTGATCCCGCATCGTGTTAACAGCCGTCGACTCGACTGAGGACCTGACCCACTGTTGTCTCATCCCCCCAGCCATCCCGCAAGATGTCTGAAACAGGCGACGAGTCGGGCACGCCGGCCATGGCGACGAGCAACGTTCCTCAGTCGAGCGTGCCTGCGACGGTGGCCATCCAGAGCCTGACCGAGGTCATTCCCGCGGCCGAGCAGCCGCTGATGTTTTTCCTCAACGAGGGCGACGAGGAGCTGCCCGAAACGTGGCACGACATGACGCGGCTCTTCCTGACGCCGGCCGAGATGTACGCCGAGACCGCCCTGCCGCCCGGGTCGCACACCCCTCCCTACCCCAAGACCCTCAACTTCCTCCACTACTTCGGCTGGAAGGCCAAGCTCGAGCTGCTCCTCTGGACCCTGCAGGCCGTCAAGCCCCTCGACAGCTGCAACGGGGAGGCCAAGCACCCCCCCGAGCAGCAAGGGGAGGAGGGAGCGGAGGGGCAGGGCGGTGAGCCACAGGGCGGTGCCGGTGACAAGAGGGAGAGCGACATGACGGCCATGGAGCTGCACCTCAAGAACCAGCGTGAGTTCGTCGCTCGCCTGTTCTTCCACCTGTTCCGCGGCGACCTCAAGAATCGTCTCAAGGCGCTCGAGCAGGACGTGTCCAAGAACACCTTCGCCGTGTTTGTCAACGAGGCGGGCAACCTCGTGGGGTCCAAGCTGGGGCGCGAGCAGGTGCCGCTGATCCAGAACCTCATCCAGAGGATCAACGACACACAACTGGCGCTCGGTGAGCCCGCGAGAGGTGGACAGGGAGGGAGGGAGGGAGAGCGGGAGGAATGCACCGCACACACAGACACAGACAGGCACACGCACACCAGCAATCTGCATATTATCAGCAAAGACGTCAGTCTCTCGTGTCGGTGTGAGTGTGTGATGGTGCAGATGACGCCAGTCGTGTGAGGGAGATGGTGTCAGACGAGCTGATGGACATCCTCCGTGAGAAGTTTGAGTCGCGCCTGCCCGGTGGCCGGTGGGTGCCCTTCAACGCCCGCATCCTGAAGGAGGCCTTCTCGGAGTTCCTCTCTTACGACTGCCAGATCGACAACGCCACCACGCTCGGCCACCTGTGCTCGCCCGGCTGGAACGACATCATGTACGACATCCTGCTGCCCTGCCACGAGTGGCTCGAGATGCGCCTGACGCACGGCGATGAGGGAAGCCAGGGAGGTGGCAACGCCAGCGGTGGCACACAGTGGTTCTGCCGGCTCAAGTGCAAAGGTCAGTCAGTCAGCCTGTCAGTTGGGGGATCTTAGAGCGAGAGAGAGACGGAGAGGAGGGGTGGGTGGATGAACGGGCGATCTGATCTGATCTGAGTGGTGGTTGGCTGTTTGGTGTGTTCAGTGTCGGCATCTGAGAGCCGTCGCGAGCGCTACGCGAGCGCCAAGCATTTGCTGGAGGCGGAGCTCATCAACTACCTGACAAATTACCAGCACGCCCAGGCAAGCTGAGCCGGCCCCCACACCCACCCCACCCCGCACCGATCAGCTCGCTGCTCGCCATCCGTAGCCATCTTTTCCCTGTCTCTGTGTGTGTGTGTGTGTGTGTGTGTGGTTCAGGTGCCGGCCGAGCAGGCAGTAGAGTACCTGAAGAGGGCCTTTGCGGCCCCAGCGGCCGACGAGGAGCGGATGGAAGATGACAGTGAGGACAGCCACCACCGCCGGCAGCAGGACCAAGAGGCGCAGCGATACGACTGGATCTCCGAATTCCTCGCGCGCGACACACACGACGGCACACACGTCGACAGACTGCGCAAGCTGCTCAAACGGTAGGTACCCACACACAAACCAGACAACACGAACATGCAACACACCACGGTACCATGTGTTTCGTGTGTGTATGTCCTTCATTCAGTTCTGGCTGTGAGGGTTTCGAGCTCATCCGTTCCGGCTCCGGTGGCGTGCGGCTGCAGATGGCCGGCGCGTCATCATCCGCCACCCACCACGTGGTCGAGCCGCAGGCCGAGGGCGAAGGAGACGACGCCGAAGGCACTGGCGATGCAGCCTCCGAGCAGCAGCAGCAGCAGGACCGGGACCACCGCCACGAGCAAGGCGGCGACGAGGTGGACCTGTTGGCTGTGCCGTCGCAGTACCATGAGGGCGGGGGCAGCATGGACGAGGAGGATGCCTTGTGGCAGAGCGACGGGAGTGAGGACGAGGGCGGTGAGTTCGAGTTGGTAGACGAGCAGGGGGGCGGGGTGCCGCTGGCTGGCGGCGGCGTCGGCGGCGGGGGGTCGGCACACCACACACCCAGGGCTGGCGGCATGCAGATGGACCAGCAGGGGCGGGTTGACAGTGTTGGCACCGAGGGCGAGTCCTCTGAGGGCAAAAAGAGAAAGGTAAATGCGGGGTGACACACCAACTAGACCAGACCAGCAAGAAGCGACCCGCCGCGGCGTTCACTTCACCTGTGTTGTGTGTGTGTTGTCGACTGATTCATGTCTGTCAGCGTAAGAGCAAGAAGAAGGATCGCGTGGGATCGCAGGAGGGCCCCCCGCCCAAGGTGGTGCGGCGTGAGGGCGCCCCGCTCGACTGGACCCACTACCTCAGGCCGGGCGTCTGGTGGAACTTCAGGGAACACGGCATACCACACGGAGGTACGCATGCCATGCTGCATGCACACACACGGACTTAGTCAGTCTGGGTGTTAGTTAGGTGTACTGTACACCCATGTCATGTGTGTGTGGTGGTTGTGTTGTGTGGCTGGCGTGGTGCAGAGCTGTCGTTCGATCTGGTCAAGGAGCGGCTCAAGTATTTCCACGAGTACGTGACCGAGGCTGGCTGGCTGGCACTCACGCGTCAAAGACACCCGTGTGCACTCTGTCTGTCTGTATGTGTCTCGTCCGTGGATCGATCAGGCATTTCGTGCCGTCGTATCCCGGCAACCGTGACGAGGCGTTGGCCAAGATCTGCTACCCATACCAACACCTCGACAACGTCTACGAGTTCGAAATGCTGCTCAACAAAAGGTAGGTAATATTACCTACCCGCGCCACATAAGACATCAGGCTCAACCCAACCATCTGTCGCTGGTGCTCTGCTTGCCTGTGCGTGGCGTTATGCCTGCCTGACAGCCTGGTGCAGAGTTTCAGTGAGACCAAGGGCATGGACGACACGCGCATCGGCCCACGGCCCGTCTACCGCGGCCCGCCGGCGTTCCAGCCAGGCCTCATGGGGCCGAGACCAGACCTGCGACCGCCTTTCGTGCCCATGCCAATCGGAGTCATGGGGGGCATGGGGGCCATGCCCATGCCGGGACAGATGCCGATGCCGGGGCAGATGCCTCCTTACGGCGGGGGCATGCCATTCACCGCAGGCCCCCCTGGCCCACCGCCCGAGATGATGTACGGTGTGGGCGTCGGTGTAGGCGTGGGTGTGGGAGGTGCCAACGGGAGCTTCCCTCTGCGACCACACTCCCATCCCCCTCCCCCGCCCCCTCCGCCCCCGACGATGGGCGGGATGGGCTATACAAGCCCACCGTCAGGGAGCCCGCCCGCAGGGCCTGTGGCTGCGGCGGGCATGCACTCCACACACATGCAGATGCAGGGAGCACGGCGGCCACCACACGTAAAAGAGAGAGAGAAAGACTTTCGATCACAACAGGGCAGGAGACATGAATCAATGGTTCTTCCGGTGTGTGGTGTGTGGTGTGATGGATCGATCAGCCTCCACCGATGACGGGTCCCCGGCCGCCAGAGAGCATGGGCGGCATCCCCCAGCCACCGAGTGTGATGATGGCCACCGCCAGCGCGCCACTCGACAGCGGCACCGCTGCCCCCGTCCTCAGACCCGCACCCAGACATCCACCCGTGCCAGATCAAGCGATGCAGCCGCGGCCCCCTGGCCCGCCATCGCAGAAGCAGGAGACGCTGTTGATCATGCCCTCCGACACCGACATCATGAAGGCCATCCCCGTGCTTCAGCAAAACGAGGAGAAGCAGACCCATGAGGGCGGTGCAGGGCGGACTGGTGCGGCCGGAGGCGTCGCCCCTGCGCCGCCACAAGGGCCGGCACCCCCACCGGCCCCTGCTGCCGGACCGCCCCCTATGGCGAAGGGCCCTGGTCCGACCATTCTGCCCCCACCAAAGGTCAACCGTGGATTCGTCCACACTGGCGCTCCGCCGGGCAGGGGAGGGCCCCCGCCACCGCAGCACCAGAGGAGGGACTCAGGCTACGGCGGTAGGCGAGGCGCCACACGGAAGACGAAGACTGCATGTTACTTACTCGCACCTTCATCCTTCGTGTCTTTTGGTGTCCGTTGCGTTGTCAGGAATGGCCGGTCCCCATGTGCCTCCTCCTATGGGCCCTCCGGTGCCGAGCATGCCCGATAGCAGGGGTGACGTGTCGCGCCAGATGGTCTTCTACCCCAAAGCCAAGACCACCGGCACCAACAGGCTCGGGTCGCCCCCTCCTCAAGGCGCCCCCTCCACCCCCAGCACCACTCCCCAGCAACCACACGCCCGCCCTATGGGCGGCAGCCCCGCGCCATACCCTCCTGCTCAGCAGCCTGACATGCAGCAGCAGCAGCAGCAGCAACAGCACCAGCAGCAGGAGCAGTATGGCGGCCCTCCACCGATGGGGCCTGGGTCCGATGGCGCCTATCCGCCGCAGAGTCAGTGGGGCCCTCAGGGCGACCGCAGGGCGCCGCCACGCCCGCCAATGGACTATGCGCAGGGGGGTCCGGCGTATCCGCCCAGCAGAGGCCGCCGGAGCCCCTATCCCCCCGGTTGCGGTGGTGGTGGCGGTGGCGGCTACCAATATGACGAAGGGCAGCAGGGGTACGATCAGGGTGGTGGGCAGTATCAGCCCTACCCACATCCACAGCAGCGCGGCGAGGCAGCTGGACGACCAGGCGGCTATGACGGAGGCCAGTACTCTCAGTACGGGTGGCAGGACAAACCGGCGGCGGGCCAGGCAGGCGTGTCGCGCCCCTCCCCGGGCCAGCGAGACCAGCGGCCTCTCGACCGATCGTCTGCTGGTGCCTCTCGCGGCGTGAGTGGCAGCTACGGGCAAGGCGGGCAGGGCTACCCCGGCCAGGGACAGATGTACGGCCCTGGCCAAGCCCCAGCGGAGCAGCCGCAGATGGTGTGGGACTACCAGACCGGCGAGTACGTGCCAGCGTCCCGCGTGTCATCGCAGGCCGGCTCGCAGACAGGTGGGTCTGCCCCTGCTGTGATGGGGCAAGAGGGCGGACCGGGCGGCCGCCAAGCAGGAGGGGGACCAGGACCGGGGGGCTACTACTGGGAGCCACAGGACGGTGGCTACCAGGGGAGACAGCCGCAGCAGGGGGGCAAGGACGGCATGCAGTGGTACCCAGAGGGTGGCCCAGACTACCAGGCCGCACAGCCACAGGGACGGACGTCTCGCGGACCTCCCCCACAGTCCTATGGTGGTGGTGGACCCCAGCAGCAGCCCTATTACCAGGGCGGGGGCGGCGGGTACGGCCCTCAGCGACCACAATCCGGATATGGTGGGGGATATGATGGCAGCTATGGGCCACCGCCTGATGCTCAGAGGGGTGGCGGGATGGCCTCTTCTGATGGTGGTGGTGGTGGCAGCAGACAGCAGCAGGACTACTATGGTGGGCCGCAGCATGGATACATGCCTCCTGGGCAAGGTGAGGAGAGAAGCAGACAGAAAGACAGACAGGCAGGGAAGACCGAGACGGTCACATGGAGGGGGCCATCGTCTTGTATTGCTTCTCGTCTATGTGTCCAGGCGGCCCGTCTGCTCCCCAGATGCGGCCCGGTTCCGGGTCAGCACCGAGTATGGGAGGCCCGCCACCCTACCCCTCCCAGCAACCAGGCGGCCCCTCCCAACAGCAGCATCAGCAGCAGCCTGACAAGAAGCCTCCCTATCCCGGCCAGGCGCCACAGAGCTACGATTACCCCTATGGCGGCGGTGCGGGTCCTGCAGCTCCCCCGGCATACCCGCCGAGTGGTCCGGCGGGCGCCGGGCCACGTGCGAGAGCCGGGCGAATGGCTATGGGGCCGGGGCAAGAGCAGCAGCAGCCGTATGCCTTTCCGTCGTATCAGTACCCGCAACAGCAGCAACAGCAGCAGCAACAGCAGCAGCCATACAGCTATGGCGGCGGCGGAGGGTACCGATAGTTTGTCAGGGAGAGAGAGAGAGGCGCTCTGCGCGCGTGTGGTGTCTGCTTGGTCGGTCGACTGGGAGAGTTGGTGGCGGAACAGTATTTTCGTTCGTGCATCCTTCCTTGTGTGAGTGAATAAGAATGCGTCGGAGTGTGTGTGCGTGTGGATGTCATGCGCCATGTGCGAGCAGCTGCGTAGCTGACGGGGCTTTCAAGAGCGGGTGGGTGGGGGAGGGAGGGAGGGAGGGCTTCACACATACACAGACACGGAGGGAGGGAGGGAGGGAGGGAGAAGGGGAGAGGGGGACCGAGAATTAGTTGAGTGTTTGTTGGGCCGGCCGACTGAGATGAGAGGGGGAGTTGCCTGCCTGCCTGCCTTTCTGCCTGCGCAATACTTCCATGACGCCTGTGCGTGCGTATATGTTGGTCTTTTTGCTCACTTTCAAGGGCCACATCCATCGAAGGGAAAGCAGAGCTCAGGCTGAGGCGAGCGATAAGTAAGGGGGTACATGCCATGGCCATGCCGGTGTCGCGTCGATCGGGCGAGAAACCTTCAGTGGCGGACGCCGAGGGCATTCCATCCAACACACAACACAAGCCGTATACGTACGTCTCTGTACATGTGTGTGTGTGTGTGTCATTTCCCATGTGTGGATCATGAGCACTGCTGAGCGAATGTGCCTCTTAGTTACCCACTTACCCACCGATACACAAGACATGGACATCTAAAGCCTCCGCCCCGGGACTGTTCTTGTGTGCGTGGCTGCTTACGTATGTGAGTGAGAGAGCCTTTTCGTTCATTCACACGCATAGCATGAGCTCATGGTCCGTCCGTCCGGCTGCTGGCTGGCTGTCTTGCCGTCACACACATTTATGTGGGTCCGTCTGGTCTGTCCATCCATCGGTCACTGACGATGCACTCACGAGTAGAGTAACGACCACACGCGCGTAGCATAGCATAGCGGCATCCTTGGCTCGCTGCTGCTGGCTCGTCTATGGAGGGGCTCACTGACACACTGACACCTTCACTCGCACAGCACAGCACAGCGCAGCACACGCGCATGCGGATCCATCCATAGTGAGGGGAATGGGTAAGAGGGCCGCGCGGCCGCCCGCCGACGTATTCTAGTACTATTTAGCCGTCACTCCCTAGAGGGCGCTCCTCCAACGCACAGCACATGCCATGCCATGCCCTACACGAGGGTGGGTGGGTCTTTTACGCATTGATTGCTTTCCTTCCCCCTGGTAGGGCGTCGAGCACAGAACACGCGGAGCACAAAGGGGAGCGGTGTGCGCTACACAGAGACTCCCTCACACCTGCACTGCATGCGGACTACGCTACATATGACTGCTACACTCGGCTGTCTGTCTGAACTGTCTGAACTGTTTGCTTGCCCTGTCTGTCTGTCTACCTACTATCTCTTGCCTTTCTCCCTCCCTTACTCCCTGCCTCCCTCCGTCCCGCTTGATTGACTGATCGATCGATCAGCAGCAGGCATTTTCCGAGCCACCATTGCCTGGCCGCGGCCCCCGCCCCCCGTTGGTGTAGTCATACTCATGGTCATGGTAGTAGCGCGTCTGCTGCTCCACACCCACACTGACCACACGTGCACGTCTGTTCCCGCCGCCGCCCATACATGAAGGTGTGCCTGCCCCTCTGCTGCTCGCTCGCCGATACTGGTACTGATGGTGGTGGTGGGGGGTGGTGGGAGTGGGAGTGGGCAGGCTCGGGGCGGGCGGGACGTATGAGCGGGTCACAGCGAATCGGAGAGGCGGAGGCGGGGCGCCTGTAGACAGACAAGATGCGGTAGACGCCCAGTAGGTAGGATTGTCGGCCGACTGTGCCATGTCTTATGAGTCCTCCTGCGCGCGCACCTGTGGCTGTTTGCTTGGGGGGTGTTGTCGTCGCGCCACACATCATCGGAGGCCGAGACACCGGCTGACTGCGAGTCTGCACCTGCATGGCATGATGCAGCCAGCCAGCAGTTTAGTTTAAGTGTGTGTAGAGTGCCGTAGGTAGGCAGGAATGCACTGGTGCTATTTGGCTTACGTCACGTGCCTGTGTGTGTGTGTGTGTGTGTGGATGTGGCTGTGGATGTGCATGTGTGACAATCGGCTGCGGCCAGGGGCTGACGCTGTTGTAGCTCTTGATCGAGAGTGTGTTGTGTGTCTGTGGGGGCGTGTCGTAGCCGCCTCTCCTCACGACAGGCAGGTCGGTGTGGCCGAGGAATGCGCGTGTGCGTGTGTGCCTGTCCTGTAGCGCCCACCCGCCGTCCACGGCCACCTGCACTCACTCGTCAATACAGAATAGGATCTCTCTCTCTCTCTCTCTCGTCCGCGGCTCCCCTCACTGACTGACTACTTACCTGAATCGGGTCTTGCGTGCCTGCAGCAACACATACATACACAGATCTGCAGGTATAGTATACGTAGCAATTTGTGTGATGTGTTGTGTGTCGGCTACGTCTCTCCTGCCGTAAAGATGTGGTGCTGCGGGTCCTTTCCTGATTGTTGGATGCAGACAGACAGACAGAAGCACGGACGGACACCGTCAGCTCGTTGGCTTGGGAGGTTATACGTATGTTCGATCAACGAACCAAGGAATGAACCAATGGATGGATCACTTGACTCACCTGTTTGGGCGTTCGCCGCCCCTCGTACTCGTGCATCGACCCAAGCTGCTCAACTCGCTGCACACACAGTGGGAACAAACCCACCAGCGACAGAAACACAGAACCATATGTCCGTCCGTCACAGAAACACCGCTACAACATAACCTGCCTTGCTCTGCCTTCCTACCTGCGGCATTCCTTGACGATGGATGCGCACATTGGGCACCACATGCGGGCCGCAATCGCCCACAGGCACCTCCAGAGTCTGCGGCCGTGGCTCAGGCTTCCTGATAAGGTTTTGCTTGAGGATGTTCTGCGTGCCTTGATAGAAGGGCTCGGCCACTGGCCTGCACAAGACACATCAAAGACAGACATGGCATTGGAGAATGACATATGGGGAGAGAGACACGGCAGGCAGTGTTGTTCCTCCTTCCTTTAATTACTCAATCATGGGTCTCGGCGCTCTCAGTCTAACAGGGCTTGGCGCGAAGGCCCCTGCATTCGGTCCCATCGCCGGCGCGCCGGGCATCGCTGGTAGTCTCGGAGGGGTAGCAATCCCTGCAATCCCCGGCGGCAGAGGTCGCACGAGAGCGGGCGGAGGCGTGCCGATCGGTGATGGCAAAGGAATGTGTGGAGGATGGGCCATGCGGAAGGTGGGAGGCGTGAAGGGGCCTGGGTGATGATGCATGGGGACTAGAGCGCCGGTCGAGGGCGGGAAGGACACGATGGGTGTGGGTGTCGACGGGCGAGGAGGCGACAGTAGCAGGGGCGGCCGCATGCTGCCGTACGGATGCACATTAGTCGTGTCTGCAGCAAAGCAACCGATCCGATCCGTGTACACGGACAGACACATACATACACATATGTATACGTCCCTGTCTGTCTCCCTCTCCTTTGCTTACACTGCATGAGCTTCGGCGTCACGGGCCGCTGCACCAGCACAGGCGCTCCAGCAGGGCTGTGTGTGAGCTTGTTCAGAGGGTTCGCCTTGGCTGCAGCCAGACTCACTCTGGCGACCAGAGGCGAAGGCGAGCGGCTGGGCGACGGCAACGGGGGCTGCCGTGGCGGGGTCAGAGTGGGTGACGACACATTGACAAGGCGTGTGCGGATAGGGGCAGACTGCGCACGCACTGGCCCGGGAGAGGGTGGCGGAGGGAAGGGCGGTGGCTGCACGCGTGATGGGGGAGGGGTCATTGTCCCCGGCGGCAATGGCATCCTGATCGGCATCGTTGGTGTGAAAACAGGTGGCGGAGTGCCGGGGGGCGCGGGGAATGGCGGCCGAACGCTGTGCATAGGGGGAGAGGGAGGGAAATATGGAGGGGTCAGAGGCCGTCCAGGCCCGAAATGCGCCGAGGGGACGGGGGATAAAGGCGGCGGGCCGATGTACAATGGAGGGACCGATGAGGGCGGCGGGCGGACCGGTCCAGATGCGGGAGAAAAGGCCGCAGATGTCACTGGAGTGCTGGCTATGCTGGACGGCCTGCAGGAAGACGCAGAGGAAACGTGTCTGCCGTTGCAGAGATAGATGGAAGAGAAAGGAAACTCACTGAGTCTGTGGGTTGAGAGCACACTCGATCTCCTGCGCCACAGGGCCATCAGCATCGGCATCCGCTGTCTCCGTCTTGCCCTTTGAAAAGCTCGGGAACTTGCCCTTCTCAGACACCACTGTGCCGCGCGGTATCTCAGGCTCTCTTCGGCCCTTGTTGCTTTGGGCAGGAGACCCCTGCAGTGGGCCCCGTAAGCTCTTCCTCCCGCCCTATGGCAGACACCCATAAGAGAAAGCCAAGCAAAAGTGCGGCTGATCGATCCACATGTATTTCTTCCTGGTCTTGTCCCTCCCTCCTCCCTCCCTCCGTCCCTGACCTTGGGGCTTATTCTTCCTTTGGGGCTGTTGCTGCCACCCATGTGTGTGTGTGCCCAGACCGGCATTGTTTGACTGTATGCATACGCCCCACCCGGCAGGACCTGCACCCCTTGCTGCACGCTCGGCGTCCAGTCGCCAACACCCACACTCTGCACGACAGGCTTAGGCTTCTCTGGCGCCGGCGGCCACAGGGGGACTTTGCCCTTCGTAACCGCCGCCTTGAGGCGACTTGCCTTGCCGGCTGCTGCCTTGTTGGCTGATCGTGCGCTGCCTGGAGGGGTGGCGCTTCTCCGACTCCGATCGGAGCGGGGAGTGACGCTCCTGAAGAGTTGAAAGGAATGGCATACGGGGCAGGCAGACAGTGAGACGCTACAGTGTTATCTCTCGTACCTGTCCCTTCTGGGTGGGGACGGAGTTGCTCTCTTCTTGACGCTGACAGCCTTCTTTTTCTTGACCACAGCCTGTGGCGCCTTTCTGGGAGTCAACATTTCGCTTCTCGGTGTCAGCGATGCACTTGGCGGAGTCACCCCTCCAGGCGACCTCCGCCCTGGCAGTGGACTCTTCTTCGCGGCCCGCGCGACCTTCCGGGGGTCTCCCTTGGGGCTTCTCGAGGGGATTCTGCTGCCCTTCCCACTACTGGGCGTAACGCTTCTCGGTGTGGACCTGGGGGTGAGGTTGTTTGAGCGTGCGTCGGTCAGTCGGGGCATCCTCGGTGCTGGTGGGGGGCTTCGCGACTTGCCCTTGACGGCCTTGGTCTTGTTGCCTTTTGGTGGAGTGACTGGCGGGGAGCGTGATGGTGTGCGCGAGAGTGAGGCAGAGGGCAGATGGGATGCCGGACGGGAGGCCGGCCGAGACAGCGGTGGCGCCGCCGACTTGGAGGATGGCTGAGCTGCTGCACGGGCGCACAGCACGTGGGCAGACGAAATGCAGATGCAATCGTTGGCTGCAGCTGTGCGATCGTGTGTCTCACTCACTCACCTATCGTTCGTTTCTTCGGTGCTGCATTTCTGATCCGCTGACTGGACGTCGACCTTGGTGTGGGCGTCTGACTCCGACTGACACTGGCGCTGCCCGGCAGTCGCTTCCCTCTTCCGAGAGGCATGGAGCGGCTCTTGCTCGCCGCCCCAACCGCCGTGACGGCGCTCCTTTCCCTTCTCGGTGTGCTCGTTGGTGTCCTGTCTCGAGTCATCTTGGCGCTTGTGAGGCGAGGGACAGCCGGATGGGCCGTCTTGGTCTTGGGAGGGGCGATGGGGCGGGGGGATGGGGTGTGTCTGGACAGCCCGGTGCGCGAAGGTCTGAGGATTTCTCTCCCTCCCCCCAGCAGAGTGGGCTTCGGCGTCACTGGCGCGCTTGCATGGCGGTTCCTCGCTGGTGCCGTCACTTTGTGTCCTCCATGGCCGGACGATTCTTTCAGAGTCGAGCCGAAGGAGAACACCAGCCTCTCATCCTCGTCGTGTCTGTGCTGCTTTTTGGGCACGAGAGGCGCCGATCGCGATTTGACGACAGAGAGAGGGGGCTGCATTCTCTGGGGTATTGGCTTTGCGAGTGTGCGCGACCGGCTGATGTTGGGTGTGTTTGCTGGGGCGGGGGGAAGCGAAGGCTGCCGCTTATTGGTCGGAGGAGTGTGGACGGGGAAGGGGGCCGTCTTGGCCAAACGAGGAGCCGTGACAGGCTTGGCCGTTGTTGAGGCGGTCTCGCGGGCGGCTGCCTTTGCCTTGAGGGGTATCTGTAGCAAAGAGGAGGTCCGGAAGGAAGAAGACAAACACACAAACGTACGGTGACCGCACTGCTGCATCCATGCATCCATACATACCCGCATGTCTTCTCGGAGTTTCTGGTGGGCCTGTAAAGACCGGCGAGGCGCCGACGGGGCAGGGGCATCCGACGCGCGCATTCTCCTCTCCTCCCGCAGCGACCTCAGCCCCTCATCCCGCTTGGCCGAGTTTTGCGAATGCTCCGACAGCCGCTCAACAATGGCCATGGCGCTGGCCCTTTGGCTGCGTATGCTCTCCACCTCTTCCTCGAGCTCGTGCATGGCCCGCTCGTACTTGTGCCGACTGTGGGAGCTACTCAGCGTGTTGATGCTGAATCGGTGGTCGCGATGGTCCCCTGCAGACTCGGCGAGCCGGGTTGGTGGGGGCGTCTGGTGGATGGCAGTGTCGGCTGCGTCGATCTGTGGGGGAGGTGGGAGGGGTGAGAGGGCGTCGAGGGGCTGGGCGACAGTGATTGTGTCTTGCAGGTTGGTCGCCTCCTCGTGCAGGAGGACCTTCGGGAACTCTGTCGCCTGCATACATACATATATATTTATCACATCATGAGAATGCTGTGGTCGGCTGTGTCTTTTCCACTTACGGCTCTCGTGACGAGGGGCCTGTTATCGCCAAAATGAATGGGGGTCGTCTTGCTCTGCGCGGGGGGCCTGGAGCTCAGTGCACGGGCGCCGTCATGTGGCATATGGCCTAGTGGCATTTGTTTCAAGAAATCCGCGATGCGCTCCTGACGCGTGTGGCCTTCTGATGGATCAAAATGATCTGTCCCTCCACGAAGCAGCTGCAAACCAAACCAGCCCACAGACAGAGATTGTTCTCGTCTCATGCCTGTAGTATGCTTGAGCGAGCTGTCCGTCTCATTCACTTTGGGAGCCATGGAAGTGAGCGTCCTCCTGCAGCGTTTCGATTCTCCTCTCACTCTCTGGCGGCGGTGGCTGATGCTCATCCTCCACGTTGACCTCCACCCCGTTGTCGATGAAGCGGGGGTGGGAAGGCGGCGAAACGGGCCTGTCGCTGTGCACGAGCGACCGCAGCTCGTTCTTGAGCATCTTCATCTGGCTCTTGAACCGCTGCAACACCGACCGGTCCTGCGTGATGGTGTTGAAGCCAACTTGCCGGCGGATCCTGGCGGCTTTCTCGGCGAAGAGAAGGGCGAAAATCGACTCAGAAGTGAACTGCATGAACCAATCAGGGGGAGGGAGTAGAGGCATGGCCAAGAGGGGGGTTGTTGTTGTCTCGTCTCGCTTGCCTTGTGTGACGGGTGGAGGGTGACGACCACAGAGAGTCTTCCTTGAGCAGCCAGTGCAGGATGCAGCAGCTTGACACAGACACACAGACAGACATAGGCAGGCAGGACACCAGTGTGTCCATCCTCTCTCTGCAAGGAGTGCATACCATACCTTGGTGAGTGTCGATGCGCGATACGGCACGTTGACGGCATGGTGTGTCTCCAACCGCGACTGCTCCCCCAGCTTCGATATTACCTCAGACAACTGAAACAGACTCTTGGACACAGCGCGGCCCTCGGCCAGGCTCTCTGCGGTCTGATCGAAGTGCCTGATATGATTCTCGCTGCCCGCCAGCTCCGCGACGAACAACTTGCCTTCGTTGATGACCATCTCATCCGGATGAAGCCAACTGGATATGCGGCGATCTCGCCTGCACAGCAAGCGAATGACATGACAAGCGGAGAGCTGTGTCGCATCCCTCCGGCTTCGGCACAGACGCATACATCCATACATATCATTCACGAGTGATGTCCGTTTGGTCGACTTGGGTGAGGGTTTGCTGTGGCATGTCTCCACAGTCACGCAGAAGACGGCGTGGCTGCGGGCCGCCAGACCGTCCCAACTCGTACGCGCAAACTTGCGGTGGGCATACGCACTGACCGACCGAAGGAAGACATAAGAAGAAAAGGATGATACACACACACATTTGTGGTGGGCCAACGGTAGGGTAGGCACACTCACTTTGCGACGGCATCTAGGATCTCGTACTCATCGCTGATGAGCCGCTCCTCCACCCCCTCCAGAAAGAACCCGCGACGAGGGTTCTCCCGAATCTGCAGACAGGAGCCAGCAAGCACACTCACTCACAACACCATCCATATTCCTATTTCCGTGCACAAGCCCACACCATGACAGACAGTGCTTACCGGCAGGACGTGCTGCGGCAGGGGGTCATCCCCCTCGGTTGCAGCAGCAGCGGAGCTGGCCGTCGCAAAAGGTCGATTACATTGTCACAATACACCTCGACATAATGACACCGGACGAGGAACTCTGCCTCAGTGAAGCCCTGCTGGTACAGCGGCCGGTGCTTGGCCGTCTGGGCCGTGTTGTAGCTGCGGATGTGGTCCATCAAATCGAACAGCGCCTGCATTGCATTGCAATGAGGGAGGGAAGGCACACAGACGGACAGAGGTTCTCGATGGACGTGTCCTCCCTCTGACTGAGGACCTGTGGAATGATCCCCGGTGTCTCCGGGTTGCCCATGACGGTGTGTCCCTTGCCGGAGCGTGTCTGCCCGTAGGCCATGAAGCAGTGCGTGACACCCTCTGTCGCAGCCAGCACTCCATCCTGTGCAGTCCTCTCGTACACTTCAGCATTGGTCGTCTCAGAACCCAACACACTGCACCCACACACACACACGCGGAAGAAAAGACACGTACTGCACCTGCACCCACACGTGATCTTTGTCTCCTCTTGCCGTGTCTCGTCTGTCTGTCCTTGGCTGCACACACACATACCTGCCGTTGACTTGGAAGAGCCTTCGGACGGGCGCCAGCGCGTGATAGAGCCTGCCTGCGCCCCTTGTGAGCGTGGACGTGTCATAGTTGTCCAGCCTGTGCCGCCGGCTCACCACCGCACCACCCTGCACCGCACTCGATCGGCGCCGATATGCCTCCTGACATGACACCCACCACACACATTCGTCCAGCCCTATCGAGATTGCTTGTGTCATCCTCACTGACTCACCTCTTCTACCGCGGCCCTCTGTTGCCGCACTGTCTCCATCAGCAATCGCTGATAGTGCTCGTCCATCCCGAATGCGTGTGATGCCGACAGGCCCTCGGTCGGCATCTGCTGTGCGAGCAGGCCGATCGTCTTGGCATCTCTGACCGTCCAGGCCTCAGTGTGACTCTCAGCAACCTCGTCGGGCAGGAGGGGACGGAGCCTGCAGAGGCAACCAACACCCACGAGAGAGGAGGCCTCAGTCAGCCATTGCGACGATGACATACCGACAGGATCCTGGTGCAGGTGTTTCCATTCCTCCCTCCCCCCCTCACCGCACAAAGACATCTGAGTCGACTGCCTTGTCAGTGGCGAGGCCATACGATGACCGTTTGCTCCGGCCCTGCCGCACGGTACTGCTGTGGCGGTGTTCTGGAGACCCCCACGCAGCTGGGCGGTGGGGAGGCTCCCACATTCTCGAAAACACGACGGGGACCTCACTACTGTACTGCAGTGGGGGACTACGGAGGGGCGGGTTCTCTGACCTTCTCCGGGTGTTCTACCCGTTCTACAGCCGATGGAGCCTTCTACGATGGCTTCCCAGGGACAAACTGCCTTCCATATCTGCGAGCCAAGCTCGCAGGTGAGCTTGGGAGGAAGCGGAGAAATGAGCATGGCGAAGCTACCAGCGGACGCCCAGACGTCGTACGTGCGGCGGGATGTGCTAAGCGGCCCTGACACATCGAGGTCGACTTCGAATGGCTACGTGGAGGGACTGCCCGCCAGCTGCCGCGTGTTCGAGGTGAGTGGATGAACAATGCCTATTTGCAGTCAGGTCATCGACTGGGGATTGTGGTGTATGTCCGTTTATTCCGTAGGATCAATTCACATCAGCGGTTGATACTGACCTGCTGTGCTCCATCTGCCGTGGCCTGGACCTCAATCTCGTGCTGTCAGGCTGTGGCAACGAGCACCTGTTCTGCAAGCAGTGCATCTGTGCATGGCTGGAGCGGAACAATACCTGCCCTATCTGTCAGGCCAACATCACAGCCGACGGCCTGCAGCGGCCGTCCCGCCTGATACGGGGCATCGTCAACCGCATTGAGGTGGTCTGCAGCTGCCGCCAGTGGCAGGGGCACTTTGTGGATCTCCCGCAGCACCTCAGGAGGTGCCGCAACAGACGATTCCCATGCAGGTGACCTGAGCGACGGGCTGTTCATGCCACTGTCTGGCTGGCTTGCATGCCTCTGTGTCTGTCTGCCTGTCTGTCTGTCTGTCTGTCTGTGTACAGGTACCGTCGTTATGGTTGCCAGGAGGAGTTGACTGAGGATGCTCTTGGCGAGCATGAGCGTGTCGCGGCGCCCCACCATCTCGGACTCCTGTCGGCGGCATTGCAGAAGACCGAGGAGAGGGAGAGGCGATACAGGGCTGAGATTGAATACCTCAGAAACACGGTAAGCAAATACACATACATACAGACACACAGCACAGCAGGGGCAGAAACGGAGTAATAGCCGCCGGCCGGCGTGTGTGTGATATGATATTTGTGCAGGTTGACAGGCTGAGTGATGTGATCTCTCGTGTGGCGCCCATGGAGTCGTGTTTGGCCTTCGGTGAGCCGCTGCCGAAGGTCTACGCCATCGGGCACGTCAGGGGCAGCACTGAGGAGCCGCTGCTCGAGTACTGGCACACGGACAAACGCCAGTGGGTGCAGGTCGGTAGATACGAACGAAGACACCGAGGGAGGCATCCTCATGACTTACTTGTTGGTTTTGTCGACTTCCCTCCCTCCCTCCCGTCGTTGGTGCAGCTGTCGACGCTGCCGCAGGTGGACCCATCGTGGCGTGACTTCGCTCTGCTGATCCACCCACATCTGCAGGACAGGGACAGCGGAGGGTCGCCAGGCCTGCTGCTCATCGGTACGGAAAGGCCTGGCGGGCACAGACCGCTGTATGAGTATGTGTCCACAACACATTCCATTCAATCAACAGGTGGTAGGCGCCAGCAAGATGAGCGCCAGTCGTCGTCGGCCAGCAGCAGCTCCAGTGGCCTGGCCATGGGCATGCGGCGCAGGCGGAGCGCCGCGGGGCTGGGTGGCGGGGAGGCCTCAACCAACATCTGCCTCATGTATGCCGTGGTCTCCAACCGGTGGCTGGAGATGGCTCCCATGTGTGTTGCCAGAGCAGCCCCGGTACGCTCGCCTCGCTGAGATGAGTACATTACTGCAGCCCGTTGGTTGCAATCACCCCAGGCACCATCACTCGTGTGTTTGTATTCTCTCTGTCTTTTGTCAGGCTGTTGCAGAGTTGAAGGGTGACGTTTATGTGTTTGGCGGGTGGAGCTGCTCAGAGCAGAAGCCCGTGACGTCTCTCGAGGTCTACAAGACCGCCAAGAACGTGTGGAACGTCATGGGCATCCCGCCTTTCGTCGGACATGTCTTCTGCGCCGTCGGCTACCAGGGCAGGATATTTGTCCTCGCGAAGCCTCGTAAGCGACCCACTCACTCACTCACACACACACACACTACGCTCTCTGTTGAAAGGCTTCCGTTGTTGTCTGTCAGATGATGCAGTGGCCTTCCCCCAGTTCTTACCGCACTCACCCGAAAGTGCCCCGGCCCCCACCCCTCCTCGCCACCCCTTCTCCCTCCCCCGGGCGTCCTTCCCATTCCCTGCACCACCAAGTCCATTCGCCAACAGGGGGAAGGAGAAGGATAACGGCCCCTGCCCCCCGTCCCAACCCACAGACCCATCACACAGCGGAGACAAGAGAGATGTGCCGCCGGCGATCCCGCCGCCCCCGCCAGAGAGGCGTGGGAGTCTGCGGATGCTGGCGAGTAGGAGGCAGACGGGCGGCGGTGGTGGTGACGAAGGGAGGGAGGACATGGGTGGTGCCGGTGGTAGTGGGTCTGTGGTGCGGTGTGCGGCGCAGTGCTACTCGTTAGATCCGGTGCGGGGGCTGCAGGAGTCAGGGTCGGGGTGGCAGCCGGTCGAGATGTGCGGCTGCCAGGATGCCACACAGGTAGGTATTGTACCAACGGAGCGTAACACAAACAGCAGCAATCAATATATGTGAATGACACTGCACGTGTGCATCTTTCTCTCTCTGTGTTCGTGTGGGTGTGGTGTTCCATCCAGTTGTGTGTGATTGAGGGTCGGCTGTACGCCGAGTGCACTGCGGTCGACTCGGACACCCGGGAGATCGGCCCTGCCGTGCAAATGTACTCGGTCGAGACCAACAGGTCAGACCCACCCCATCCCACCCACCACCACACACAGATGCAGATGCACAAGTACTGAGGAGGAATATTGACGCCCTCCCTCTCCCTTATGCCGAGTCAGGTTCACGCTGTTGAGTCGTGTGTCGACAGGTGTGTTGGCGCCCAAGATGGCCACCGTCCGACAATGCGGACTGCCTCTGGAGGAAAAGCTCAGATGGCTGGCAACTGTCGGTGGCGAGCGCGGGCACAAGCGGGCAGCCGTGTGGGTGTGATCGGTGGGTGGGCATCTGTGTCTAAGTGTGTACGTCTGTCGTGTGCTCTCTCTCTCTCTCTTGCGAGACATTTTTTTCCTTATTTGTGAGGGGTGAGTGGGACATTGTCATGCTGGTGTGAAAGCATTCGTCTCGTGACATGGAAACAAATGTTCCTCATAGCTAACCAGAATATCAGCACAGAAGGTCAGCACCCACACGCAGCCGCCTCAACATTGGCCTGTGAAGCCCCCACCCCAACTGTTGCTGCCGCCGGTCTTCTTATAAACTGGTTGAGCGGTGTGCAGCAGCGGACCGAGTGATACAGCAGCCAGTGCTGGCGGTACCGACTATTGGCCAACCAGGGCTTCAGCAGGCCGTTCCAGTGCAGAATGCGGCCCCTGTTGGTTGGTTGGTTGGCCAGACATGACATGCAGTGGGGCTCGGCGTTCTGTGGGTGTGGTGTGGTTCCTGAACTGACTGACCTTGACAGTGTGTCTTGTGAGGGCGGGTCCGCAGCGTCGTAGCCCAGCTTGAGAACGTTCCACTCTGGGTCGAGGATGGCCATGACTCTGTTGCGGAAGAGGATATTCATGGGCAGCTGGCTGGACTCGGCCGTCGACATGCCGCGAAAGGAGGTGATGTTCAGACTCCGGAGGAGACCTATCAGTCCCTGCAGGCATCGTCAGCAGCAGCGGCAGCGGCACACCGGTTCTTGATCTCTCTCTCTCTCTCTCTCTCTTTCTCTGTGTGTGTGTGTGTGTGTGTGTCTCGCTCCGTGTTGTGTGCATGGTGCAAACCTCTGCCTCGTCGGTGAGTCTGTCTCTCCTCCACATGGTGAGGTTGAGCACCAGCACTCCCGCGTTGAACATCTGCAGGTCCCTCGCCACAGTGAGGCGCGAACGAAGCACCCGGTACGCATCCAACCCTATTGCCGCGCTGATGTCGTAGTTGAGCCTGGTGAAGGAGCGCGGGACGGCTGCAAGGCCGGCCTCTCTGCCGGCAGCTCGCCGAAAGGCCCCGAAAAAAAGATCAGAAACGTCACCCTGGTCGGCAAGAGAAAGGGAGGGAGTAAGGCGTAAGATGCATGGCATGGTGCAAGGGGTGTGGTGTGGGCGGTCACCTACCTGTATTATGGTATCTGGGTCGATCCAGATGACTCGCTCGATTGACCCGGGCAGAAAGCGAGCCAGGTAGAAACGGACGAAGTTGAACACGACCTGGTCCCCATGGCCGCCTTGAGCTACTGTGATGTTGTCACTGGAGACACCATGCAGCACCACCCTCCGGCTCCACTGACGGCCGGCTCCCTCTTCCTCAGCACTAAACACGCCAACGCCCTTTCTCGCGCCATCCGCGCACTTCATTAGCCTCTTGAGGCAGTCTATGTCTCCTTTTGCAGCAAACACATGCACCTCGACCTACACACACAGAGAGGAGAGACATGTATGATCCTATAAGTGGCGTATGGGGACGTACCGTACCTCATTGTGCACTTTCAGGTTCCTCCAGAGAGATCGCAGCAAAGCCAGCAGCCCGGCGTACTGCTGCCGATCTGTGGCGGTGGCCAGGTAGACAGTCCCACCTCGGTCGCGGCTGTCCTGCTAGGAGAATGGAAGCCCACTGCCTAGCCAGGGTTATTCTGTGTGTGTGTGTGATTTATGGGTGCGTGTGAGGCGTCGCTGGGGCTGGAGCCGCCGATGGAATGGGACCGTCTGATGCCGTTGAGGCAGGCAGCCTAATACCAAATTAATACCACTTGATTGAACCGCCCATTCGCACAAGCAAGACGAAAGTCCACGCATGCAGGCAGGCATACATACAACACGGCAGCTGATGCCGCTGGTCTGTCTGTGTGTGTCTTTGTTGTTGGGTCGAGTGTGTATTTGTTGTTGGGTCGAGTGTGTCTTTGTTGTTGGGTTGAGCGATCCACCGTGGTGTTGCGTGCGCGTGTGCGGCTCGGACTTGGACCGGTTACTCGTGAAACTCATACATCTTCTCCTGATATGCACACACACATTTCAATCGCCTTCACACCACAAATCTCACCTTCTCACGTCTGCCTGCGATCGCGTGGTTCATCGCCCTCTCGATGCTGTTGCCGTGATCACTGGGCTTGACGGGGACCTCCTGCCGCTGGCCGTTCTGATGCCACCTTACTAGCCAAACCTTGTCGCGTTTGTGCCAGAGCACCCCAGGGGTGTGACACACTGGATCTCCCTCCTGCGTCGCCCGCCGCGCGCCAGGCCTGCCTCCGTGTTGTGGATCTTGCTTGCGGTGTTTGAGCTCAAGCTCTCGCGTGTAGTTCTCGGCAGCTTCCTGAACCAAATGCACACATCTGCGTCCGCGCCTTTCTCCCCACTCCCTCACGCTAACCCTGGCCCCCTGCTCCCCGAGCAGCTTGATGCTGAAGGACTTGCCGCCTGCGGGTCGCTTGCCGTTGACCCGGGGCGGCTTCGCCTCCCATGCGTGGTTACCGACATGGTAGCTGCAGTTGGGCACCTGCGATTGGCGTGCTGCCACCTTGATGGTGGTTTTGCCCTCGCTGGGCCCGGCTGCCGCCTCCCACGTGGGCTCGCTGGCATACTGCGGATTGCCGGCGGGTCGTTTATCCTCCTCGGTCCGCTCGTACGGCAACTCTAACACATCCATCAAACCGACGAGGGCAGACATGTATCTCGATGATGTCACTGCACCATCCTGCCTGCTGACCTGTCTTGTGCTCCTGCTTGGCCTTTTTGGTGAGTTTGGCGAGGTAGTTGTCGATGCCTGCGCGCCTCTTGACGCGCGCGGCGACGCTCGTGTCGAACTTGTCACCATCACCCACGCCACCGCCCTCACCTGCACACACACATCCACTGTCAGACATCACCCACAGATGGACTTTTCCTCCGCTTGCGGTGATGTGTCTGCAGGCGGAATTGTGGAAGAATGAGGTACTACGGTAAAGAAGGTGCTATGTGGGGGGAAAATCTATGTCCATGTCTTGTCAGTGGGGTCTGGGGACGATCGCGCTCAGCAAGAAAGAAGAGAAGAAAGCTCGGGGGCTTTTGCAGGTGCCCGCCAGTGGCCATGTTGGACGGGCGAAAGCAGAGAAGTGGAAGACAAAGGTACGCCAACACGGTCATTGCAAATCATTGCAACAATGTCGCAATGACTCCCTCGTCGCAGTTATGGGGCTTCGTCCAGGGTCAGCTTGAGACCATCGTGGCGAATCGGACACAAATGAAGTTGAATGTAAGTGCAAGCAAACGGCTGGTTGGTCGCGCAATGGGTGATTTGTCGTGTGCGTGTCCTCAGATGCTACTCGAGAGAGTCAAGGAGGGTGCTCTGCGAGAGACATTCCGGCAGCTTCGCGATATACGACTTCAGAATATATGACATGAATCCGTACAAGTGGAGAGACACTCCCGCCAGCAGCGAGTCGAGGCTGATATCGGGACACTTGCCAGACACACCCACACCATGGCTGCTGATGTGAGGCAGGTGAGACCTCTCGAATGAGTAGGTGCACACGCCTCCGGGCCCTTCGCGCAGCTGACATTGCCCAGGCAAGCAACATCTGGGCTCACTCTGTATGTTGGCAGGTCCTGGCTGCGTGAGTGAGTACTTCTATGTGTCCTTGTTGGCGTAGTAGAGACGCCTCAATTGTCGAGGGCAGGTCCTGTTGGCTCCCTTTCAGAGCTTTTCCCACCTCAGCGTACCTGGAAGACGGGACAGCCACACTCTGGCTCCTTCATCCTCTCCCCTACTTCTGACGAACCTACCATTTCTCCCTCAGCACAGTGAGTGTGGTCAGTTTGCCGAAGGAATCGGAGCTCATTATGGCATGGTGCACCTTTATCTGACCAAAACAATTCAGTGATAATCAAATCGATAACACGACACGCAAGACATGTATGTATGCAGCCTGTACATACCCTTTTCAATGGCTTTTGGAGCGCGTCCGGCCCCGATGCGACGACATCAGGGGGCATTGTGGCCCAGCTGATGTTCACACTCGGGTCGCTCAGCAGCACCCACAACACAGTGGACCGAAAGCGGCCGTGCGGGAGAGCCAGCATGAGGTCGCGGACATGTTGCCAGAAGTGGAGTGAGCGGCTGTTGCACCTCATGGCGAAGAAGCCCGTGTTGATCGGCCCGCCCCCGCCCGCTTGGAAACATATGTCGTTGCTGCTGAGGCAGGCGGACACCGCCTTAGCCCAGCCTGGGAAAAACTGCATGTCAGTGCATGACATGAATGCGGAGGAGACATAATAGACAGCCAGCGGAAACCAGCACCGACCCAAGAGGTCCTTACTCACTCAGTCCCTCACCTGCAGGTCGATGTCGCTACAGACGACGGCGACGTCTGACTCACTCTCCTCCTCCCCAGCCATCATGTTGTCTCGCACCACGTCGACCCAGTACTGCGCTTGCTGGTGAATGGCGTTGTACCACCCCGGCGACCGGTATGTGGCTGCACCACTGTTGTCGATCAGCTTGGCGTGCACGGGCCGAGACACATTGCTGCCTTTCGGCATGATGGAAGACACAAAACCTGAAAAACAGGAGAGAGAGGACAGGTCAGTGGATGGCGTCGTTGTGCATGTCTCAACTGTCGTGCTTCCCTTACGCACTTGTCCGGACGAACTGTTGAAACACTTGGCCAAACCTGCAGCCAGCCGGCACACAGTAAATGAATGGCATGGATCGGACACGTGAGCCGTGTGTCTGTCCATTCTATCTATTCACTTACTTTGTGTCGTTCTGCAGCGAGAAGACGCTGTACACAGCACGGATGGGTGGCGGCGTGTCTCGCTGCAGAACGACGGGAGACACGGCCTTCATCCGGAAGTCCTCAACCCTCATCCCAGGCCTCTCCCAGCCTCCTTTGGCCACCAGAGCATGGGATGCGCCACGTCGCAACAGCCAGCATGCATCGTCTCTCAGCTTCCGCACATTTGCCGTCTTGTCGAGGGACCCCAGCATCAACTCATTCATGTGGTGACGGAGATACCAAGTGGGATAGAACTGACTCTCGACACTTACGCACTCCTACTGGACCAACACGCTCAGAGCCCCCCGTACCGTACCAATGTCTCGTTGTTGTCTATGTGTGTGCAGTGTACAGTACACTGACTGACCTTTGAGCCTGAGATAGCCTCCACAACACGAAAACTCGCCTGAACACGGAAGTCCCTCGGGAACTGCCGCCGCACAGCCGCCTTGTCGTAGAAGCCGAGGCGAACCAGATTGCCCCTCACTGGTCCATAGAGGAAGAAGCCGGGGTAGAGAACAGACTCGAAGGACACATAGCCCGGCACACCGCTGAGCGCCTCCCTCTGGTGGAAGGAGCAGTGGATGGACTGCTGCAGCAGCTGGTCACCGAGCAGTGGATGCACGCTGCTGTGTTTGTCCAGGAGGGGTCTGAGGAGTTGCGAGTCGACGAGGAGGACGAAGTCGCTGAGCCTCGGGCTGAAATGGAAGAGGCAGTGAGCCCTGTCCGACTCGCGCGACCTGCGTCAACACATTCATCACCACAACATGCACACAGACCGCTCGCCCGCCCGCCCGTGATAGAGTGACGGATGAAGGATGAACCGTGACACCCGTCTTCGGTTGCGGATAGAGCAAGGCTCACCGTGACGGGCCCACGTAGTTGCCGGCCGGCTGGAAGGTCACCCACCCATCTGCGCCATCGATTGCGGCGGGGTGGGTATTGACATTGTCCCCTGCAGTGCCAGCCATCGAGCCGGTCGCGTTAGGGGGTGTTGAGGAAGAGGCCTCATTGTCAGGGTGCGGATCTGATTCCAGCAGGAACCTCTGGAGAAACAGCCGGAGAAGCATTATGTTGCCGACCACGACCAGGCTTGTCAGCGAGAGCAGGAAACCTGCAACAAGAGCCCGAATCTTGCGCTGCTCCATTCTCTTCTTTTTGAGACTGAGTGAATTAAGCTCGGTGAGACGCCCCACTTAGCCCCCCTCTAAATCGAGAAGCATGTCACTTGGCCCAGTAATATTTCCCGACCATACCCTGCGGCACTGTCAGGATGCTGCCGCCCTTGCTGTCTGTGTCAGCCCCCTTTCTCCCCAGCAGCCCCCTCATCTCCTCACGCACCGCCCCCGTCACACCAGGCACGACACAGCCAATCATCGCCCCCCTCTCTGGCGGCCTCGCACAGGCGGACCAATGCTGGCCGGTGCGTGGCATGTACTTGAACACTTCCTCCGACCAGACGGGATTGCTCCAGAACTGCTGCTTGACGTCCTGGGCGAAGCGAACGGGCCTGCCTTTCTGCGCGGCCTTGCGGTAGTGCGTCATCAGGTGCCTTGAACGGATGTGCGCACACAGATACACCGACAGGGCGCCGGCATAGTGATCGCTGATGCACACATGCACAGGGACGGAGGGAGGGAGAGAGACAGGGAGAGAGAGGCGATGCGCATCGAAACAGGCGGCAGACTTGGTTATCATTGGTGCAGGGCTTACTGGAGTCCGATGATCTGGAAGAAGTTGTGAGTCCCGATGTGCCACTTGTCGGGAAGCCGGGCGGGGCAGCATTGCTGGAACACGCTGCGGACGCGGCGGATGAACTCATCCTCGCTGCACCTGCACACAGTACAGTGCGCACCACAACACCTCTCGCACGTATGCATGCGCCCGTAAGCAGCCCTATCTACTGTCGGTCGTCAGTAGATACCTACTTACTTGTCGGGGTCCATGTCTGGTCCGTGGATGTAGTGGTCGACGATAGAGTACTGCAGGATGGACAGCCGCTCATGGACGCTGTACGGCACACGCCTACACCCATATTGACACACACCAACATAGAGAGCCATCAATCACCATGATGCTTACGGTGCGTTGGGTGGCTGGCTGGCTCCATGTACCTACCTGACCAGGTCTTCAGTCATCCTGGCGCCTGTCTCGAGGTGCTGCGCCAGCTCGTCTAACACGCGAGGCTCGCGGACCAAATGCCTGCGCACACACACACACACACACACGGTTGATCGTCCTCTGTGCTACCTACGTCCGTGTGACCCTTCCCTCACTCTTGCATGACGGCAGCAGTTTCGATGAGGTCCAGCGGGACAACTTGGGGCGCACGAAGCACACTAAGGATGCCAGCAACATCACCCTGATAGACACAGCACGGCACAGGCAGACATGAAACCACACAGTCCGTCCGTCCGTCCGTCGGTCACCTCGTCGGCCCCGAGGGCATCGAATGGACGTCCATTTAAGGGCGTGTGGGGCATGACAGCGGGTTGCTGCCCCTGCCTGAGCCTTTGCTGCATGGCCTTCATCAGAAACAGGAAGTGCAGACAGTGGCCGAACTCATGCGCCACCTTATCCGATACCTGCATCCACGGGACACACCAACACAACACACCAACACAGGGATGCGCACATGGATGGTGACACCGGTTGCCTGCCCATTCTGTCTGTTGCTGACTGACTGACCGACCGCATGGAAGGGCACTGGCATGGACATAGGTCCCGGCTCGACAGGCGTCTCCACCATGAGCCTCACATGCCCCAGCCCCACCACGTGGCACCCCGCCCCGCCACTCCGCTCATCGGCCATGATATCCACATACACGTAGCCCAAGTGGGGGTCGTCATCACTGCCACCTCGGCGGTCCCGGTCCTTCACCGCGTAGATGGCCACCTGCTGCGGCCAGCCGTAGTTGTGCCTCGCTGCCGGCACGCGCTCGATGTCGACCTGATAGACGGACTCAAAGATGGCGCGGAGGCGGTCGAAGTAGGTGTCGTGGGCGAAGTACTGTGCCAGCTCGTGAGTGGTGTCTAGGTGAGAATCCTGATATCAGTGAAGAGAGAGGAAGGAAGGACGCGATCGAGTGAGTGTTGTTGGTGTCGATCCTCCCCCGCCCAGCCCAGCCCAGCCCACCTTTGCAGCGAAGTGAATCCAATCGTGGAGTTCCATCCGCTGCCCCTTGTCCCCCTTCCCCTTCCCCTTCCCCCCGCCTGCACCGAGCTCTCGCCTTGCCCTCTCCTCCACCGCCTTGACATGCGGCTGCGCGGCTCTCCACAGCTCCTGATGCAGCGCGCCAATGCTCTCAGGGGTCTCCACCGTCAGCTTTGCCAGGCTGTAGTCGCGCCAACAAGAGAATCCCAACTCTTTTGCCATGGCTCTGCGGCTCCTGAGGACTGCCAGAGTGGCCGCCGCCTCTTCCTTCGGGTCAACCATCTCCAGCATGGCAGTCAGGAGCTTGGCGCGGGTCTCACTGTCACTCACATGCGCCAGGTGGAACTCGATCTCTTGCCGGGCCACTGGCGCCCTCAACACGTCGGGGTTCCTCACTGAGACGTAAGAGGCCTTCCAGGCATCATCGGCAACATAGTGCGCTGCAGGAATGTCCACCGCCGCGTTGCCGCAGGCTTTCCTCTCCTGAGCCGCGAGCATCGCCGCCGCCTCATTATGGACGGACAAGAGAGCCGCGGTGCCCTTGTTGCCCACAGAGAGGAACAAAGCCTCGTTAGCCGTCACAGAGGGGCACCGACTGATGGCCCTCATCACTTCCGCCCTTCTGTCTTTCTCTTGGTTCCGCGATTGCTCGCTGTCCTTCGAATGGTCCGTGTGGATGGCCTCGACCGAGTCATGGACGAGGCATTCGCACCAGCCAGCCGCTCTAGAGTAGAAACGGCGGCGCATCGAAGAGCTCGTCATGATATCCAAGCTCTCGAGCGCCGACCACAGGACCGCTGCACGGTTGCACGCACTCTGCAGCCCCGGCAACGTCGACGGGCTCTGCAGGTACCGGCTGACTAGACGCGCAACATGCCTCTCCTCCCCAGTCGCTTTGTCCTCGGTCAGCTCGCCTTTCGCCTTCATCGCCACCGCTGCCGAGTGCGTGTCGACCAGCCGCGTGAAGCGCCTCATCAGATCTCTGCGTGCGGCGTTGCACGCCCACCGAGAGAACGCCATCAGGCTGAGCGGCCCCGAAGGAAGGATGCCCTTGACCTGCTCGTCCACGAACCGTTGCACTGCGTTGTCTCTCCTCAGCCATCCGGATGTGGCATTCCATTGGCCGATGAGCCATTGCTGCCTCCGGTATGTCCAGCCGGTGACTCGCCGTCGGAACAGGTTCAAGTACAGACAGGTGTAGGCGATGATCAGGTCCGGGCTCGCCATCGCTCGTCGCTTCCAAGCTCAAGTGGTTGGAGCGCAGATCCGTCGTTATATCGACTCGAAAAGCACATTGGTGTCGTCCAAGCAGTCTACAAAGCGTTGGAAAGCCCTTCAATGAATACCTCGTCGCTGATCTGCAAGCTTAGCTGCGAGCTTGCAGATCACGCATGTGTATGGCGCTACCCGTCCTGCTTCTCGCCGTTGCTGCGGCTATCGAGGCTCACGCGGTGCGGACGACGGCAAACAACGAGCCGCTCCTCCCCACATCTCAGCCGCTGGGCCCAGACCAGGAGGGAATCAGGCAGCCCGGTTCTCAAAAAGGTGATGATGATGCTGTAGTTGGTCAGCCCATCGCTGTTCATCGCCGCAACAGCACCACCAAGGCGCAGGGGGAAGGCTTGGCTCCTCCGTCTGAAGGCCACGCGACCCGTTCGCGCGAGAAGGCCTCCCTTCGGTCATCCGATGCTAGCCGGCTCATTGCTGATAGCGACACAGGTCATCCCCATTCTCGCAGGCGTGAAGGCGCGTCAGATGGCGGGTCAGATCTGGATGGCGCACTTGAGGGTCACACAGGGAGGCGGCAATCGAGCCTGTCATCGATAATCGACGAGACTGTCGCGGGCGTGCCCAAGAGTAAGGAGGGAAGACATACAAACAGAGAGGAGTGACGTGAAGGCGGACTGTGTAACACTCTCTCTCCCCTGTGTTGAAATGTCAGTCCCTGGCGTGTTCGATGCGCTGTGGCACGGCCACACCCTGACGGCGAAACAGCGGCGAATCGTTTTCCTGGTCCTGCTGGATCTTATCGCAATGGGCCTCTTCCTGGCTTTCGTCCCCTGTGTGCTCGCAATGGTAAGACAGACAGACAGACAGACACGCAGGCAGAGAGAGAGCACGGATGGGTGGGGGATTGGTCTGGAGGACGCGGTCCTGTGTTGCGGCTGGTTGTGTCTGCAGTCGAAACGGCGGCCACCGACACCACGGGCAGCCATCCACTCGTTGACGCCTGTAGATGAATAGACTGCCTGAGTCCTGACTGAAGGCAGGTCTTCCCCACCCTGCCCTGCCTGCCTGCGTGTCTAGATGCTTAGATGGAATGACCGATGTGTAAGAGCGGGCCTGTGCCGCACTCTCTCCTCTCTTGTCCCGGCTTTGCTGCTGGTATGGTCGTCGCCGAAGGTGGAAGGCCCTATCCACACCTCCCTGAGTTGGCAGGCAGTCATCGCGTGAGCAGCGAGCCAAGGAAATGGAAGAGAGGTGGGGCGGTGCGGATGGGCTGGGATGGGCGGAATGATGTGTAAGTAAGGTCTTTATCAGTCAGTGGGGTTGAGGGCTGGGTGTGTGTATGTTATGTTTGGGTATATCAAGGGGCAAGGCAAGGCAAAGAAAGGTATTTGTCTGTACAGTGCGTCTCTCCCTCCCTCTCTGTCTGTCTGTCTGTCTAGCACGAGCAATGGATGCATCCACGTGTGCATCGTCGTGCTTGTGAATTCATCGGCCGTTCATGTCTGTGTGTGTGCTGCAAGTGTCTAGAAAGATACATACGGTGAATAGGTGTCTTACACTAGAGATAATGATGGATCGGACCCCTTCCCGCAATTTACAGGGAACTGGAAACAAAGCAAAAAAAAGGCAATTTGATGGTATATGACACTAGTACTGCACGTCCTATTAGTGCTGGTGGGCGTTCTCTTTTGCGGCTGTGAGGGGGTGCCGCTCACCCGTGGCTTCAGACATCGCGATAGACGATGTGCCGTCGGCGCACAGGCAAGAGCAGAACCATATGCATGCAGATGGGAGAAAGCAGAGACCTGCAGCGCTGCACGGACGGGCTATCTATCTATCTATGGGGCCCTTGTGTCTGCCCTGCACTGCCTGCAGGAGATCAACGACATGCGTTCCACCCGGCACAACATGAATTGGTGCCGGCCCAGCTATCCCTTGTCAAAACAGGTTGGTGGGTCAAAGGGAGGCAGGCACCATGAAAGACGCTCGATAGATGCCTCCTGTCCTGCCATCTATCCATCCATCCATCCATGTGTCTGCCACCATTGTGTGTCGTGTCGTGCAGAAGTATCTGGCTCCTAAGTGGCAGCGCGAGTACAAGAAGACCATTGAGCGGCTCACTACCCTAGGCACGGCTGGGACCTCTAACTTCACCGGGGAGGACCCGACCTATCGCACAAGGCTCATCGGGCCACGCGCACTCCTCTTTGGGCTGCAGCAGGGGCAGTACTACATTCACCAGCAGTGAGGGAGGGATGGGTGGTGAGTGAGAGGAGGCCGCGTGACAATTGTGGGAGGGCTGGGCAAGGCAGGGCATGCACCTTCCCTTTCTCACCCGCCCGAGGTTGTGCTCTTTTCCGCTTTTTTGCTGAATATTCGTGGGTTGGGGGACGTCGGTGGGGAGAAATAAGGCTCCTCTGCTCAACAGCGGCATGAGTGGTGGACCCTGTTTCTGATGAATCGGGTGTGGATGTGATGTGCGTCAGTTCCGTGGGTGCCGTGTTTAGTCTTTATCTGAGCTGCCTTGCCCAACAACGCATTTTTCGGTCACGGCTGCGTGTGTCATGGCAACAAGTCAACCACAGACACACATGTGTCACTGATGTGTCATGACAGTGCTGCGTCGCCAAAGCGATAGTAAACAAACGGATGGCTGCATGACATGAAGACAAAAGATGGCACCACATGCACACCTACCTTGCCACGTATACGTGTGTATACACAACTCTCTCGATGCTCTCTCGACC